GGCAAAACATGCAAAATAATGCCAATTCTCCTAGCCTCAAATGCTCACGTGGACTTACCAAGACAAAATGAAGAAGTGGCTTGGTCAAAGCTCCAACACATGCACGGCATGCTAGGACTAATGGGACAAAAATGCTAACACATGCACAAGAGGACAAGGAGGGAAGCATCTTGGACAATTACACCAACATAAAAACGAAATGGAGCAACTCCCATGGCATGAAAGGACAAAGATGGTGCACGGTCTACATAGAAAATGTTGGGAAGAATCTCTTGCACAATTGCTCACGGCTAACACATGAATTTGGAGCAAAATACTAACACTTAAGCTACTAATCTCATGATTAATATAAATTAATCACTTAATTATGTTTAATTATCCAATTAAACATAATGCTTAATTACCAAAATTATTTCGGACGTAAACGGTACGTCGAAAATATTTTCCGGTAATTCCGACTGAAATAACTGAAAATAATTAATTCCGAAAAATAATATCGGAACTAAAATATTATTTATACTGAATACTGACAAAATGTCGCTGACTGAATAATTAATTCCGGACTCATTAATTAAACGAATCGGAATTAAATCTGGAAAACTTATTCGGTTACTAAAATAAGTAAACCGAACATCTTATCGACTAATAGTCGAACATGGAATCTGACTAGCTGATAAACTCGGACTTGAACATGAATATTTATTAATAAAGGCTAGCTTAAACTAAAAGCTTGTATTTTCCTTTATTAATAAAATACGGGGCGTTACACCGTAATATCAAACTCCGAGCATGGTCGCGGCCCTTTGCGCGACCCTCCTTTGCCGAAACGGCCTCAACATCAAGTACACCCAGTCCCCGGGCTCGAACTCCACGTCACGCCGCTTGCCATCATGGTACGCCTTCATCCTATTGATCGAGCCCTCCAACGCCCGCTTTAGCTCGCGCAACATCAAGTCACGCTCGACCAACTCTCGATCGACCTTATCGTTCACGGCGCTCCCCATCGAGTAACTCACGATCGTCGGTGGTTTGCGCCCGTACACCAACTCGATCGGCGTCACCTTAGTCGAGCTATGGTAAGTGGTGTTATACAAATACTCGGTCCAAGGTAAATAATCCTCCCACCGCTTTGGAAACTGATGCACATTGCACCTAAGGTACTGCTCGAGTGTGCGATTGGTCACCTCCGTCTGTCCGTCGGTTCGTGGATGATAAGCCGAGCTCATGCTTAGCTCGGTTCCCTGCAATTTAAAGAACTCTGACCAAAAGCTATTCATAAATATCTGATCTCGGTCGGACACAATTGACCGCGGCACCCCATGCATTTTCATCAAATATTAAACAAACAATTTTGCTATAGACTTAGCCGTGTATGGATGAGTAAGTGGAATAAAATGCGCATACTTGGTAAGGCGGTCGACTACCACCATGACTCCATTGAACACATTCGAGAGTGGCAACCATTTGATAAAATCCATGGTGATATCCTCCCAAATACGTGCGGGAACCGACAAAGGTTGGAGTAGCCCAACCGATCGAAGCGGGTCCGCCTTAGCGCGTTGGCATTCATCACATCGCCAAACGTAGTCGCGCGCATCGCCCCTCAGCCCCGGCCAATAAAAAGTGCTCGCAATCCTCATCCATGTCCGGAACACTCCTGAATGTCCTCCAAACTTCGAGTCGTGGAAGTGTCGGATGATGTCTTCGCGCAACGATCCCGTCTTGGGCACGACGACTCGCCCACGATAAAGGAGCAAGCCATCGTGCATGTCATGGTCCTCGTCCTCGTCGTGTCCCATGTTCAGCTTCTCGATCATGTCCCAGCAATGCGCATCCTCATCTTGCCC